GGCCCTGCCAAGGCATTAGGGTGAGTTAATTAAAGGTTTGACCAAATATAGCAGGCTGATTTTTAAGTTGATAATTGTGTATGGCCCTCGAATGATGTTATAAATATCCAAAAGGCCTTTGACAGAAAAAAAGGTTCTCCACCCCTCATCTAGGGCCTGGGCAGCAACCAGGATGGCAGTTCCAGGCCACATGCCCAGTTTGGCTGTAGCCAGAGGCCTCAGAGTATCTGAGAGAGCTTTTCAAGATGTGAGCCTGGGCTGCAGGGCCAGCTGGGCCGTGCCGGGCTTCCCTAGGAAGGACGCCTCATCACTGCCCCCCTGGCTTCCTAGCCAGACAGCTTGGTGTCCTGAGGCCCAGCTCAGCCATATCAGGACGCACAAGGAGACAGACCCGCAGGCTCATGTCCCTGGCTGTGGTCTCAGCAGAGGAGGAAGCCTTGGGGGAAGAAAAAATGAGGCAGGGGCAGTGACAGGGCTGGCGCTTTTCCGGTTGGCCTGCCTGTGATGCGGGGCAGCAAGTGACAGCCAAGGGGCAGGTAGCTTGTGGACCGGCAATTGGAGAAGGATTTGTGTTTAGCTTAGTTCAGTGGTCGGCAAACTGCAGCTGGAGAGCCACAGTTTGCCAACCACTGGCTTAGTTGATGAGGGCCTGGGGCCTTTGATGGGGTGGGATGGGAAGGGGTGGTGGTTAGGAGGTGGGGCCTTTCCACTTTATCTCAGCATCACGGGAACTCTGATCGGGGAGACTAGAAATCAGGGTGGACACGCTGGCTGTGAGCAGTACCTCTGCCCAGGCATGGCTCTGACTCACCTTGGGTGCAGTCTTGAATGAGCATCCCAAGAGGCAGATACAAGCCAAGTTCCAAGAACAGTGTTCTGCAGCTGGCAAGTTACTGGGGACAAGGAAATACCTACCTGGAATGTACTGTGCTAAGTGTCGTGGTAGGCACTGAGGAGGCGTTACGGGCTCATGGTGCAATTCCTGGCTTATCCTTGGGGTGAGGGGAGATTTTTCCATGGGAAGTAGTCTAAGGCCTGAAGGATGAGGACTTGGCCAGATGACCAAGGTGGAAGGTGTCCTAGGCAGAGGCACTGCCTGGTCGAAGACCTGGAGACAAAGCAGGAACAGCACGTTGAGACAGGAGCAGCACTGAATGGTGACTCAGACGTGGCGGGTGAGAGAGGTGGCAGGAGCCCGTCTGCAGGGACTTATGGGCAGGACAGGAAGTTTGGGCTTTGTCCTATGATAGCCTCTTTGGTGCTCAGGGAACTGGCTGCTTAGACGTTTTGGGCCTTGTTGGATGCCCTACTTGGGTTAGAGATGCATGAGCTCTGACTCTCCCTCTTCCTAGTGTATGTTGTGGGGTAGGGGTGGCCCTGGTTGTAAGAGCAGGAGCTTGGAACATTAGCTCCAAGGGTCAGGGGGGTCCCCACATCAGAGCTGAGCCATTGGCCGCTGGCACCAAGCTGGGCACCTCCTTCCTGGCCTGTGTGACCTTGACTCACAACGGTCTTTTCTCTCAGATGGACACACTGAATGCCCCAAGCATGTAAGTGTCCTTGGTCCCCTGATTGGTCATGGCTTGGTCCCATCACCCTGTGGAGAGGGCTCACTGGACTCTCCCAGCTACTGCTGGGCATGCGGCAGGGTTGCTGATGGCACATGGGGAACGGTATGTGTTCATGTTGCCATCCTGGGCGGGCATGGTGTCACAGGACGCCCAAGGCCTTTCCAGCACCTTCCCTCATGTGTCTGCAAAACACATATGCAGGTTCGGCGTTGTTTTCTTTTCTTGGCGCACAGTACTTTCTTCTGCAGAGGGAAACTCCTTCTCACCATTGATCCTCCTCAAAGCCTCTCAGGTCCCCAGCCTCTGATGACCAGACTCTTACCTCGTCTTCTGCCCAGGGTACCTGTGGGTCTGACCGGGGACTGACTGGTTGCAGTAGTGAGGCGCCTGCAGGAAGGGAAGAGTGAATGGAGCCATGACAGACAGTCAGATTGAGAGAGTGGGTTGCCGTGCCTGGGGCCCCATGGTGACTGGGTTTCCTTTTGCTGTGTTCCTGCCTCTGATGTCAGAGGCCCTGCAGCTGGTCCTGGGGGTGAGCTGCCTGCAGGAGTTCCTCATTACACCCTCTTTCCTGCAACTTTGGGGAGTTAGCCCACAGGTCGGCAACCTTCAGAAGAGATGGCTTCCTTCCTTTTCCTCAATGTGAGGAAGGCCAGGCTGACTTGCACTGGGGAGAGGAGGAGTGGGGCTAGGCAGAAGAAATGGGAGGAAGTGCTCAGTCCTGGCCAGAGTTGCAGGCTGTGACGTACCAGTGGGGTAGGAGATGGAAGCCCCACCAGCAGCGACCAGAGGCGGGTGGGCTTGCAGGGGCTGGGGAGTCCAGGCCCAGAGGGTGGGCCCGAAGTGGCCCGAAGTGGCCCGTGCAGCCTCAGACCTTCCTGCAGGTGGACCTCACACACATGCTGGTCTCTGTGGTGAGCCCCCGCCTCTTCCCTCCCTTTATGTAGGACTGCGGGTCTCAGCTGGCCTGGGGGAGCTTAGAAGAGGTTTACCTGCCAAAGGTTCAGGCAGGGGCGGGGGCTTCCCAGGGACAGTGAGAAGGAATATCTGTGTCCAGAAATCCTTGCTCTGAGATGTTGGGGAGGGAGCTGTGAAAGGAAGGTGTGCAGAGAGGAACCTGGTGTCTTAGTGGCATGTCTTGGGGATAAGGAACAAGAGCTTGGTCTAAGAGTCAGACACACCAGGGTTCAAGTCCTGGCTCTGCAACATAATTAACATGTGATCATTGGCAAGTGACGTAGTCCCTCTGCGCCTCATCTAGCTCACCTGTGCAATGAATGTTAAAGATAATGCTTTGGCTTCATGCTGCTTTATAAAGCTGTTGTGGGAATTAAACACATATAAAAAAAAGCACTTAGGAACTGCCTGGTACAAATACATTATTATTATTATTATTATTGTTATTATTATTATTAACAACTACTACTGCTGCTATTTAGTGGCCTGCTGCCTTCCTCCCCTCCTGCCTCCAGGATTCCCAGGCATCTTCCACACTCCTCTCCATTCCCCAAATAATGACCTTCCTTTTCAGGGGATCCTAGGTCTTTGTGTCCGTGATCAGCACTCTTAGCCCAGCCAGTGGGGGAGACAGGGAGGCCTCTGCCAAAGCTTCTGGGGGAACTCAGCCTCCCCAGAATTGGCCCCTGGATTTCTTCTGAGCTGCTGGCCCTCCTTGATGTGCAGGGTCAGTGGTGGGAGGCAAACGGCTGAGCTTAACCCCTCTGGGCCTGACCAAGTAGCTGCAGGTGTGCAGGTGGTCGGACCTGGGGAGGTGGGGGCAGGGGCAGCTCTGCCTGGAGCCCCATTCACAGACTCCACTTCCACCTCTCCCGGCCCAGCGTGCAGAGCCTGCCATCCTGGGCCTGGTGTCTGGGTGCCCTCCCAACGGGCACACGCACACGTGCACCACGTCCCATCTGCCACGTGGGCTCTCCCTCACCCCAGACTGGCGCGTCTCACTAGGGTGACAGGGCTGTGGTGGGGGGCGGGGTGATGTCTGTGTACTGTTGGTGGAGGAGAGGCCCCAGTTGAGATAAGCGTGTACGCGCCTGAGAGGCTCCCAGCCCCTGGGAGACACGTGGACCTTCCAGCCTCCCCTGGGCAGCTCCGCTCCCCTCCCCTTCCCTCCCCTCCCCTCAGCTTGAGCACGTTCTTCCTGCTTCTGTCTTGCTTCTGCAGACTCGTACCTCTAGTTGGTTCCTGCCAGTTGGAGAGGCAGAGCCGGACTCCTGTAGCCAGGACAGCCCCATCCTGCAGCTTGGAAATGGCACCCGGGGTTATTTTCAGTCTGGGGCGAGCCTTTGGTTTCTGCTCCGCATCGGGGTGATTGTCAGGGAATGAGAGTTTAAAGCAAGAGAAAGGGGTTTGTTCAAAGGTGCTTCCGGTGGCCCCCAGCACTCTGCTGGGCCAAGGTGCCTCGGTGCCCTCCTAGCCGCTCGCTCTCCTCCAGTTTCCACGTGTGAAGAACAGGGGGTGCCAACGGGGAGAGCCTCCCTCACTTCGGGGCTGAGAGCTGAGGAAGGAAATGGAGGAGGAAGTTCCTCCCCTTCTGGGTGCCAGTGAAAGTGAAAGGCACGCAGGGGCCGGAGTGAGTCACCAGCGCTGGGAGGGAAGGGCTGGGAGCTGCGGAAGCCTGCGCTGGAGTGATAGCACCCGGCCTCCCTGGGGCCGGGGCATCTTGGGGTGTAGCCGGGACTTCATACCAGCACCTGCCCGGTACCGCCCAGCCCCAGCCCTCCTCTGCTCTCCGGGGAACTCCTGGGCTGCTCACAGCGACCTGCAGCGTCTGGGGGTGAGGGCTGAGGGCAGATGCATTCCTAGGGCTTCCCTAGCCCCCCTCTCCTCCCCTCCCGGCCCGCCTGGCTCAGGACCAGAACATTAATTAACCTGGGGAAGAAGTGAGTCATGCAGCTCCCACCCTTACCAACTTCCCTCAGGGAGGAAACTATAACCATTTCTGAAGAAAGTCTTTGAAAATGCATGCAAGTTATACACGTAAGTTATCACTTACACCTAAGTAATAAAAATACACATAAGTTATGCTGGTCTTGGTTGTATGTTCTGTAGCAGGATATATAGAGCAACCTGGTTCTTTTTTCTCTCTTTTTTTAAATCAAGTTAGAAGACAGACAGAAGCGCTTGAGTCACACCATGTCCTAGAGAGGCCTTCCGGACTCGAGGTCCAGCAGTCTGCTCCCTCAGCGTCATACCTTTGCTCTTTGGCAGTAGAGGGGGCGGGGAGGGGTGAACACTGCTGACCAGCTGCGATGTGGCATCCCGCCTCCAGCCTGCCAGGGCTGCAGAACAGGTTCCTGTGCTAGTTTGGGGAAGACTCTGGCAGCCACCCTCCCAGCCAGCAGCTCCTCCCAGGGGCGAGGCCAGGACAGCACACACCCTTCAGCTGGAGAGCCAGACATTATGTCGTGGTGCCTCACCTGCCCGCTGGTCGTGGTGCCAAGGACCTGAGCCTAGTCTTGAGGCCTGGACTCTGCAAGGACCCGGTGGGCTCCTGACTCTGGGACGGCACAGTTGGGAATGACCCCTGTTCTCTCCACTTTCTGTCTGCGATGTGCTTGGAGCATCGGACGAGGCATTGGCTGAACAAATGCTCCTTCTGGCTCTGGTGGGGAGGCCACGCCTGGACAGGTGGGAGAGGACCAGGCCGGGCTGCCCAGTGGACTGAGGCCTGGCTGACGAGGGCAAGGAACCGGGACACGGCCTTCGTTGGCCCTTTTCCCGGCTTGACCGCCGGAGCTCTGGCTGGATCGCAGCCCCCATCCCCGTGGCCGATGCCTTTGTGCAATTCACAAATTACACCACATGCAGCAGGGCCTTGGAGGCCCCTCCATCGTCCTTGTGCTGACGTCTGGGGCATCATGGGAGGCTGTGGCTGACCCTGTTGCTATGCTTCTGTCTGCAGGCTCCAGGACCCCGCGGAGCATCATGAACTGGGAAGCGTAGACAAGCTCACACGTGTCTCGGTGAAGAGAGAGGAACCGCCAACAGCCCTTCCTCCCTGTGCCTGACCACATCACCCAGCACTTTTTCCTGCCCCTGTTCAGCTCCCACGGCTCCCGGACCAGGGGGCTCCCAGCAGGACCTTCCCCTAGGGGATGGGCAACTGGTAAAGTTAGGTCTCATTCCCCCCAGGCCGGCCCAGTCGGCCACACCATGAACCTCCAGGCCCAGCCCAGGGGTCAGAACAAGCGGAAGCGTTGCCTCTTTGTGGACCAGGAAGCAGCTGCCAAGGAGCAGCCCCCACCCCTGCAGGCCCCACCACAGCCCCCGGCCCCTCCACAGTCCACCCGAGTGAAGGAGGAGCCTTACTTCGGGCACGAGGGTCCCACAGGGGCTGCCCCTGCCTC